TGCAGAATTTTGTACACGATTGGCTAAAAGCTAGGAGTGTTGATGCTAACTTTTTTTTGAACTTACTGTAAATTGTAATACTTGTATTTTCTTTTTCTGCTGTAATTTTTATTTATTAAAAAGGAAAAGATATCTAACAAAAAGTTGTTAGTAGCTAATATAATTCATAAAATAGATCCCCATTTCTGAGTAACTGGATTTTGATTATAGTTTTTTATGGTTTTGTGATTCTTTTGTAATTTTTTGAGAATAAAGATGATTTTTAATAAGTGTTCTTAAAATTATCAAAAAAAAGTGATTTATGGGAAAGAGTTTTTTTTAATTAAATAAAATTTATTGTTTAAACTATTATAATATATTTAAACTTTTATAATTTATTATTAATTTGTTTTAATATTTGAAATTTTTTAATTAATAAAAAAAAAATCTTCAATTTTTAAAACTACTTAATAAAATATTTTTTGATATAGAAACCTAATACTGTATAATAAAAAAATAATTTTTATAAAAATTATATCAATTAACCAATAGAAACCATACTTTCTTTAATTTATAAATATTCTAATAATTTTTTAAATTTATTTCAATCAATTAGAATTATTGATAATATTTTGTTTTATATTATTAATTGTGAATATTAATTTTTAAAGCAAAATCAAATTTAAATTAAACTATACAATTTATTAATAACAACTCTTTAGATATCTTATGTGAATTTTTTATTAAAGGACCAGAATTAGAAAAATTTGACTTTCAATCTAAATTTAAAATTGGTAAAAGATATATTTTAGTTTAAAATTATATATTAATAAATTACATTAGTATTAGAGGATTTTATTTTATTTTAATATTTATTATTACCAATAATTTTTACTAATAAAATTACAATGTTTAGTGTGTTGATATTTACTGAATTCGATATGTTGCATTCAACTATTAAAGTCGCGATTCTTTATAATTCGAAGATCGGAATCTGAATCACATGTAACATCTATTAATAGTATCAACCGACATTCTGATTGCAATTCAGGATTTTTTATTTTTGTACTACAGAACCATTGTTTGTGTCTTAAAACCAAACTTTATTTTTTAAGAACATGCACCGAATTTTAATTATGGATTGTCGTGCAGCGATCATGCATGATTATATTAATTATCCATACAATCAAAATCACGAATGTTTATACCGGACTTAAATCTCCGCGGTAAATGCAGGTATTTCATTTATGTATTCATCATAACACCGTTAGGTTAAATCATTGAAAGCAATTAAATCAATCGCTAATGTCCGAAGACAATAAAATATGGTTATATTAAATAGATAAAATTCATGTGGGTCAGGAACGTTTTTACAGTATTAAAATATTAAAAAACGAACAATCTTATACTGTACAGTATATTCTCATCCAAGCATGTGCCAATTGATAAGGAAATTATGAAAATTTGCCATTCAATTTGAACCAAGTGAATGTGTTTTAAGCATCCATTGAATTTTTAAAGATAACGTGATGGAAATGGTACAATTTTAATACTATGTATTTTAATTATATTATAAATATATTTAATACTGTCCGAATAAATTGCATATACTTTGTTACGTTAGGAGATTGTTATATAGTCCAAAAAAAAAATCGGAGAAATTAAATTTATATTTTTATTTAAACTTCAATAATTAATTAATTAAACAAGATTAAAAAGTATTATATAAAAAATAACGTATAACATTTTTTTATTAAATTAAATATGATTAAAAAAAAAAAGGACTTAATTTAAAAAAATTCCAATTTTATAATACTTGCAAAATAATAGTAACAATCAAATATGGATTTACAAAAAATTAAATAATGTTTTTGAATAATTGGTAGCTTAATATAAAGTTATTTACTGTTTATTATGATTTTATACACAATATTTTCATAACCAATGCATTTTTTAAAAAATATAATTACGTTACGTATTTATAATAAATATGTTTTTTTATTGTTTTTTATATTTTAATTTTTATCCAAAAATTTTAATGTGACTATTAATAAAACGCCAATATCTTTTTTATGATATCCATAATAATAATAATAATCTTTCCAATATCACAAAATTATTTGTCCAATTTAATATAAAAAAAAAAGCAAGTGTATTATCATTAAAACTATAAACTATTCAAAAATAAAAATTTTGATTAACAAAAAAATTCGTAAAAAAATTATTTACCATTTTGTCAATTATACGAACTTAATTTATATATTAAAATAGTTTTAATAATAGATAATAATAATGATAATAATAATAACTTTTTTTATTTTGTAATTAATGTAAAAATGAGATTTTTTAAATTGCTCTTTTTTTTAAATTATAATTTCATAAACTTTTTTCTGATATATTTAAAATATTTTTTTGTAACTATTTTTTTGGAACAGACTGTGTATATACTGCATATACAGTGAGTTCACTAACCATTGGATTTTCTCTAAATAAAATTTTAAATTTACAAACATATGCCAAATTGACATATCCATTATTCAAATTGAAAATGATTTGGGGATGTCACGAAATTTTGATCATCAAACATTGGTTCGCTTTTTAATTGTCTATCAATTCCTACATTCGGAGTCCTTATCTTTTGTATACAAGGCATGAACGATGTTATGAGTAATCAAAATCGACTGGTATAAGAGAATCGTAAAGAAATAAAGCAATATTGATATCTCAGATTATTAAGCAATGGATGGATATTGATTAAAGCATAAAATGAAGGAAATGTTAAAGAAGATATTATAAATTATTTGGATAATAACGGTATACTTAAAACATGCATTAATTATAACGTGCACATTTCTAACAAATAACTAGAATGATTTCGACGAGTTCGTATGTTGAAATGCGACACACATCTATGATTATATTTGTCATATTCATATTTTTACTTTAAAAATGAAAAGTATAGAAAAAATTTTCGAATTTCGGTTTCCATTATTTTTTATTGTTAAACTTGACTCATGTTATTTAATACTCACATCATTTATTAATTAGAACTATTCAATTTGTTATACAGTATACAGTATTTACTGTACGTATTCATGCAACTACTAAAAATTAAATTGACAAAATTTCCAGTAAAATATCCAAGCTTAAAAAACGACAATAAATATTGCAATCATATGCTCACACTTATTCCAAACACCATTCCAATTTATTATATTCTCATTCATACTCTATGATAGTCTAACGATTTAATATGTGTAGTTCGAAAACAATCGTAAAACTTTACAATAGTCACTATTCATAGTCTCCTACACAACTTCAATTTCGTACAAAAATTGTTTTTGTACCAAATTTTGATCATCATATCCCGAATAACAAAACATCTGTACAAAACAATTTTTCGAAATATTTTTATCAATATTACATTATACAGGCGAACGCTTTCGTACGTAAAAGATCTAAAGGACATATAGTATACATAAGAAAGTTTTTATCGCAGCTGCTAAAACATCGATACGGCTCAACCCCAGCTCATCGTATTTGAATGTATCAACGTTATAACAATTTCCTTTTCATTTAGTATTCACTTGATCTCCGGACTTTTTACGCTATTTCATGAGTTCGCAAACCTGATCATCGCATACAGTATTCGTTGGTCATTTTTGGCAGGCATTAGGTTATAACGGGAAGGGGTTGTTATTTTATTTGTGAATTTTGGATTCGTTTGTGAGAGAAGATTGGACCTTATATAAAATTTTTACTTTTCCCAATATATTCTTTTTCATGACAAAATAAATGAATAGACAAATAAAATCTAGCAAAAAAGAAATATATCAATAGCAGTAAAATAATAAACGTATTTACAAACCTTTATTTAGTATATTCTTAATTATGATATTGTGGATTGTGGGAAACACGCGATATTAAAAACGTGTTATGATATTGCATAAAACAATTATTTGATGATGTTTAAATGAAGAAATCAACATTAACTATGTACTTTAAAAATCTTTCGTTTTCTTATTTGTTCTAACTACCCCAGATTAGCTGATTCCACAACGTTTCGGATCTCTACTTACCAATCACGTGACTTTCACATGAATTTTTAAGTTATAATAAAAAAATTTTTTTACTTAATAATTTAATATAAACTTTGAAATCTAGATTATTTTTTGTTTGTTTATAAACTTTGAATATTTTTTTTTAATTTGATAGAAGATATGATAAAGAATAATTTTACTTATACCCTCAACTCAATATCTTTTAAATCCATGAGTTTACCTAGAAGCAAGTGAAATTTTTATAATAAACTTTTAAATTTTTGACTCAGCGAAAAGAATCTACATTAATTTTAAATTTTAAAGATTTGTTATGAAAATTTCATTTGCTTCTAGGTAAACTTAATGAGTTTAAAAGATATTGAGTTGGAGGTATAAGTAAAGTTATTCTCTATCATATTTTCTATCAAATTAAAAAAATTTTACACCTAAAATTTGTGTGAAAAGTCGTGTGACTGTTACGGTTTGATTTACGCAGTATTCGCAGTACAGTACTATGTACATTTATGTTTTGCAGGTTGTGAAACCAAACATTATATGCATGTCGAATTTCCTTTATTTAATAATACTTGATAATCAATCTTACGCAACATCTATGGAAAAATTATGAAAGACAAGGACGCTGTTTTAAAAATAAATCAAGAGTACCCTATTATTATGATAAAGAAAAAGTCTCTTCCGAGAAAATTAACTTCATTTAGTACTTGAATATAAAGACTGATCGAAAAGAAGCGTAACACAACAAAAAAAAGTAATTTTAGTTTAATAAATAGATTTGTACTTTGATAAAAATTACTATAATGTATAGCAGTCTAGATTGCGTGATGTATCCTAACCGTTATTTATAAATAAGCTTGGACGAAAGTTCCATATTTCTGCAAAATAATATATCTTTTTTTAAAAAGAAAATATAATTGAAAACGATTAACTTTTGCCATTTTATAAATTCAAAAATATAGGACAATGTCGTCTTTTAGCACACTACTAAACCCTATACCTCAATATGCAACAGGTAGCTTGCCTGCATTGGCAATAATGGGGGAGTCACCTGTCGCGTCGTTTTCAGGAAAATTCATGTGGTTACTTAGATGTCTTGGATGTCCGTTTACGGGGTTATTTTACTCTTTTATCATTGGGGGTCTAAAAGAGGACCGCTGCGTTTACTGGCTCTCATCAAACAAATTCAAACTTATTCACAAAGAATCCGACGAATCTGGCCATAATAAAGAATTTCCTGAACCATATTATAGACCTTTTGGATTTTATGCTTGTGAAATCGATGAAGATAACGCAATATATATATAAAAACTCGTAAAAAATTGCACAGCCACAATATCGGTTTTAGAAAAATTTTCGGCAATAATATCAACTTACTTCATTATAGTTGGTACATTGGCATTAATTTCTCAGGCTCAGGGAACAGTTAACTGCAACGATTGGCCCCATATTCCCTCACTTTTATCATGGGCCGTCCCAGCCACCTTAATTCGAGCGATTTACGGAGTCGTATTAATTAAGAATCCTGATGATATTGTTAATGAACATCAAATTACAATTGCTATAAATGACGAGAATAGAACCTATAAACGTTTTACCGTTCTTACAACTGCTTTTGCATCAATATTTTATCCTTGGATAACATTCTTTCTGGTTTTCTTGTCACCCCCAATCGGATATGGTTGCCGGAGTAAATTTATTACAATAATCTGTAGCATTTGGACCTTTAATAATATATTAGCGATCATATCCCACTGCAAAGGAGAAAGGAACTTAAAATGCGGAATTCTTCATGTTTGGTTTTCTTTATGCGGAACTGTGATCATGATTCTTTTAATTCTTTTAGGTTTTCTTGCTAACAATAATCATTTATGGGTTAGTTTTTTTGGCGATAGTTGTAGTCTTTCAAGCATAGGATGCATGTAACGGGTACATAATTTTTAATTCACGTCACTATAGCGTTTTAAGAAATTCTTGATGATTTTTTCTTATTTTTTATATTATATACTAGAGGAAATTAATAATGTTTTAACTTTTCATAGCAAATATCGTGTATATAAAATTTAAATAAATATTTATTTTAAACTCTTTCATAACTTATCTTCATTAAATAATCCAATATGTTTATACCATATTATCAGGGTAGAATCTGCTACTATAAATTAAATCAGAAGTTTGCCTAATTTTACTGATACTTCGAGTTAAAATTGCACTATTATCTCGTATAATTGCGATGTGTTTAGTGATTTGCTATTATGTAAAGTTCAACATGACATTAACAATTTGTACATGCATTGATTTAAGTCGATATTTAAATACTTTAAATGTTATAATATTTGTGCTGACTAATTCAGGTTTTGCTTTACATTAAAGTTTACACATTACTACGGGGCGACCAGGATCAGGTTAGCGTTAGAATTAATCTTCCTACTATCAAGGCTTGCTTATTTGGCCGATGTTTTTTTCTGCTTCTCGCCAACTTTTCCTCTTAAGTAGTGTCGGAAGGTAAAATAGTAACGTATTCCAATCACGTGACCAATAGTCGCGATAGTGCCGCGAAGGACCTGTTCCTATCATGGTACTTGAGATAGTATGATAAAAAGTATTCTGCAAAAAGTGATGGGAAGTGGATAAAATAGTAGTAGAGAAGCGTAGTAGGAAGTTAGTTAATCGTGAAAAAAAGATTAATATAAATCATTGGATCGAGAATTATGTAATAAGAAAAATAATGAGAAGAAATTAGATAATCGATGCTGCCGTATTTTTAGAATGTTAAAATGTATAAAAATATGTAAGAAAAGTGAATAAAGGACAGTGAATTATCTTTTACTTAGCCAAATCGTACACGCCTAAAAACTTATTAAATTCCTTACACCCTCGACGGTTACGTGACACTCTATCCCACTTTAGCGACATACACGCCGATCGACCGTCACACTAGTAATACGAACTTTGCTCGATTGCTAGTACCTTCCCTCCTTATCTCAATTCCGGCTCCCTAGTAGGTTGTTGATATCGTAAACATGAGGTTTATAGTGTGCGTGGAACATATAATGTTGTTAAAATAAAAGTGGAGTTAAAAAAAATGAGCAAAAGGCATTTGAATATTATCAAAAGTCGGCTAGGATAAGCGTTGTAAATAGAACATATAATGTTGGCTATTGCTACGGAAATAGAATTGAAGTTGAAAAGGATTACATAAGGCATTCGAATATTATAAAAACGCCGAGATGGGCTGTGCTATTGAATGCGCAGTGTTAGTCGTGGATTGAAGGGATGAATACAAGGCGTTCAGTCTGAATTATGTAATAAATATAAAACATTTAAAATAGAGTTTAAAAATAAATATAAGGTATAAAAAATCAACCGATATGTAGAATGCATGTTTGCAATAAAAAAGGATAACATAAAGCATTCAGATATTTTATGATCGGGATACTAATAAACGTAATCACGCCCGCTATTATGGACATGTGTTATTTGTATAGATTTTAATAATGTGATATAAAAGTAAGATTTGGTCAAAAGTATATCAGAGAATTTTGCATATTTTGGATTTTGTCGTATAATTGAAATTGATGCATTGCTAAAAAATATTAAAATATTAGTAAGTTGTGAAAATTTGATTTAAAGGTAGTTTTTTTTTAATTAAAATATAATATTCTAGACTTAATATTTTTTAATATACAGTATTTATTATAATGCATAAAACAATTACAGTAATATAACAAGTGATTTATTTTTTTAAATTCGGTATACTTTAAATTAATTGTATAAAATGATTTAAAAAATATTTATAATATTTAATAGTTATCCCAATGTAATTTTTTTTCATATTTATCAAATAATTCATTGCTTTAAATCTCTAATGTGATTAGAAAATATTTTGAAACCTTGTGTTTTAAGATATCTACAAAAAAAAAAAACAATTAATATAAGATAAAATAAATAAAGAGATCCTTTATAAAATCTGTTTCAATTTATCTATCAATTAGAAAATTTTTTATCAAAATATTTATGGATATTTTATTATAATAAGCTAGAATTCTTATTGAAAAATGTTTGAATTTCTGAAAATAAATTATTTGATTTGAAATAATAGTATTTTTGTCATATTTTAAATGGTTAAATTCATTTAAATTTTCTTTAATAAAAATATTTCCATAATAAATTTATTAATTATTTTTGCATAGACATTGATTTTTAATAAATATTGTATACAGTGTTACTAGTCCTTGTTACATATTTATTTTTTTTATTTTGATAATGGTAATTATATGTATTAATTTTATTATTTAACTAAAAAACTACATTATTAGTAAAAGCAAATACATACAATGATTTATTGTTAAAATAATTAAAATTTATAAAAATGTAATTTGTGAATTTTGAAATTTTTCATAATACTAAAAATAAACACTGATTTTTTTTTTTTTGCAATATTATAGATTGATTACATATGCGTTTCTTAAAGAAGAAATAATAACAGCTTTACTTTCTACACCAATATAATTTTTAATTAAAAAAATAATCGTTGATTATAGCAAAAGAATTTGAAAATTTTAGAAAATAGAATTTTAATTCTTACAAATTATTTAAACAAAGTTCCTTTTAACTTGAAAGCCAATTATAGTGGATGGTTCATTTTTAAAATAATTATAATCATTAATTATTAATTAACCTATAAAGGCTATACTTTATTTATTGTATTTCACTTTCAACTATTGATTACAAATGTGAATTTTATATTCAAAGTCAAATCATAACTAAATTAACAATTCTATTAATAAAAATATTTTAGATGTCTTCTTCAAATTTTATTTAAAGGGTTGTAATTAGAAATTTTTGACTTTCAATCTGAATTCCAAGTTCGGATAAGTCAAGAAAGATAAATTGTGGTTTAAAATTATACAGTATATAATTTAATAAATTATATTTTACTTTATTTATTAATATTAATAATTTTTATTATGATATTACGATATTTAGTTGATGTTTATTGCATTCGACCTATTGTGTTCAACATTTATCGTTTTCGATATTTATTTAGTCGCGATTGATCCGAATCACGTATAACATCTATTCGTTCTAAAATTATCCTAATCAACCGACCAAATTAGTCAATTTTCGCAGCTGTTTCACAATGCCGTGATTCACAGTACGTACAATGTTTTTATTTTTGTGCTACTACTGTAGAATCTTTATTTTAATTATATCAGTAATATACATGATTACAGTACTATATTGAGGATTGATGAATGAAAAAAAATCGTTTTTTTATACCGGGCATAAATCTCCGTGGTAAATGCGAGATAGCTTCGGATGGTGTATATCAACAGTATGTTTGTTTTTTTATTTATCTTTTGACACAGAATATCTATTTTTATCATTTCAATTCGTATTCATTATAGCATCTTTAAGTTATACCATTGATAACGGTTCCATTAATTTCTAATATTCGAAAATAATAACTTATGGGTTTATTAGATAGATAAATTAATATATTTCAGAAACGTTATTTCTGTATTAAAATATTAATAAACACAATAAGATCTTATACTGTACCATATATTCTCGTCCAAGTACAAGCCAATTGATAATATAACTATGAAATTTTTGACATTAAATGAACGCGTTTCAAAACTTCCATTGAATTTTTAAAGACAACATGATGGGAATGGTACAATTTAATGCCATTTGTTTTAAAATCAAATCTTTGTTTATAATTCAATAAATAACCTATAAGATAAGATAAAAATAAACAAATATATAAATTTGATATAAAAAATAATGCATACAAATTTTTTTAAAAATATTTAGAATATTTAAATTAAATACAATTAAAAAATAATAATAATTTAAAAATTCTAAATTTACAGTATATTAATTACAAAGTTATATGACAATTAATTATATTAAAAACAATACAATGATTCAATATAACGTTATTTACTTTCTTTAAAATTTAACAAATTCATTTTAATAATAAATACATTCTTTAAAAAATATAATAATGTATTTATAATAAAAAAATTTTTTTTTCATTATTTTTTATATTTTAATTTCATCTAAATTTTAATTTAATTATAAATAAAATAATATTATTATATTTATGATATAACAAAAAGTTTTTTTTGTTAAAAATTATTTTAAAGATTTTTAAATTATATTAGATTAATTTATATGGGTAATTATTTTTGAAGGCTCACAAAATGCTAGAAGTGGTTTTTTCGGTCCCTACTTTTAGTGCCCGAAAAATCCTTGTCCGCGTTCGAAAATAATTACCCATTTACATGTATGAAATTTTGATTAATATATCTATCCACAAGTGTTAATCGCAGCTGCTCAGACACTCGTATTATATAATGAGGCTGCTAATCGTATTTAAATATATCAACGTTATGACACTTTCCTTTCCTTTTATATATACTATATATTCACTGGATCTCTGGACTTTTTCGCTACTCCAGGAATTCGCAAACGTCGTAAAACATAGTCGCCGCATATTCATTATCCATTTTAGTAAGTATTTGATTATTATGCGAAGGGATTATTATTTTATTTTGTGGATTTTGAATTCGTTCATGAGAGAGGCTTGACCCTTATATAAATGTATTTTTCCCATTATATTATATTTCATGATAAAATAAATGAATATACAAATGAATATAGAAAAAAAAAGCATATCAGTAACAGTACAATGATGAACATATTTTATGAACCTTTATTTGTATAATTTAAAGGAATATGCCTATTCCTTAGAAATTTCCAATTATG